ACATTAATTATTTTTTACATCGTAAGGCTGGCGAAGTTTTGAATTCCCTAAAAGGTCGTTGTGAACGGATGACTATAACGAGAGGTGCCTCCATGTCGTCATTCTATTTTGTCTCTGATATTTAGACTTGAACATGACATCGGGGGTGGTCGCATAAGCTCGTGCTAATCGCCCGAGGTGGGTGGTTGGAGGATGCCGGCGAGTTAAAGTCACGCGCGATGGTGAGAAATGAGTGGTGTGTAGGGCCTCAAATATTGTCGAAAATGTGTGTAACTTTTTTTCGATGCTGCCGAATTCACTAACATTCTTGGCATCGATGGTTAAATGGTTGGTCTGTTACTGGGCTGGTAACCAAAATGTCGTGGGTTCGAATCCCGTCAGGGGCTAGTCGGTATGTCCCTGGGTAAAGACAGCAGGACTTTTAAGATCACACAAAGACGGTAAAAGTGTGTCACTTTGCAGCAGCGTGGTTTGTGTAGGGAAGAAGCATTGTGAGTGTCAAATTCAAACGCTCAGTCAGGACCCAACCTGGACTGAGAGGGATGCAACACCCGAGCAAATAGACCGAGATATTTGATAAAAAAAATGTATGTCTTCACACTCGGGAGTCGAATCTGGGTCTCTTGCGTGCGACAGCGCCTAACCGCTACACCATCGCTGTCATACTGTCGTGCTTACACGATGCAGATTACTCCTCCTCCTTTGCGCTGATGGGTAGGCATATGAGTATCTATCTGCTAACAGGTCCGCCTTCAAAAATAATAAAATAATGCCCGCTCCCATCCCTCCCTCGACCCCCTGACCCCTTAGAGGTAAAAATTTACGCACCTGTTATCGTTTCTGAAAATAAAATAAAACATGGATTGTATAGCGGGGACTTTGGCTTTTTCTGGAGGCAATTTAATTATCATGAGTTACCTGTGACCAAGTCGGAACATAAACGAGTAAAAGTACCCCCCTCCCCCTCCTCATTCCCATTCGCAACTTTCTTGGTCGTATATGCGCGTCAGGATTCTCCACTTTTTGTGGGGCCACATTTGGGTCACCGTACGGTCTGTCACACTCGAAAAACACGTTTAGATTATTCAAAGAATTGGTGGTGGGGGGAGGGGGTCGAAATTTACTTGACCCATTTATGTACCTTTCAATGATGACGGCTTGTTAATGTTCTTGTTTAAATTCACCAGTAACGAAGCTGGCTTACGAACGTGGGTTAATCAGAAAGTAATAGAAATTATTGTCATCCAACGGCTGAGAGTATTTACTTCAGTCATAAAAGCGTTACACTACCTTTGTTGTCGTCGTCATCTTTGTTACGATCTCCGGTATCTTTTAGATCACAGATTCACAACTTCACAGAGTTCTTAAACATCAATTCTTTTTTTAAAATTGATATCATGGGGAAAGGGGGGGGGGGCATTCAAAGGCCTGTCTTTATAATATTTTATGTAACCTTTCTGGAGAGTTAGGCAGGAGTTTAGTACAGGGATTCCTGAAAAGTTGGATTTCCGCTATTACTTATGTTTATTGAGAAAAAGGAGAAATTCTATTTCATGATAATAATAATAATATGGTGCTGTCAGCGGACAGATCACAGTGGGCTATATTATTTTTGGTTTTGCGCATGGTTTTCTTTTTTTTTTGGGGGGGGGTTGTTGTTGTTGTTGTTTTGTTTTGTGTTGTTTAGTGGCGTCGGTAGCTAAGTGGTTAGACTACCGGACTCGAAATCGTGAGATTACGGTTCAGGGGTTCGAGGCCTCAGCTCGGTCCGACGCTGCGTCCTTGGGAAAGGCACTTTACACGAATTTCCTATTTATTTTGCTCGGTTCCTCCGGAGATGGACTGTTAAACTCGGAGGTCCCGCCTCTTAAATAACCTACTAGTGTTGATAGGGGCGTTAAAACTGTATAATTT